AGTTGATCTCACTGATCATCTTAACAACCTGAAGAGACTACAAGGCAAAGAGCAGCTGGTACCACAGCTGTATGCGCACATGAAAGCATTCCGTGCGAAGCTCCGTCTCTTCGAGTCACAACTGCGCAACTTCAATGTAGCGCACTTCCCCATGCTGACCGAAATCAAATGCGCATTTCCAAATGCCAAGCTCTCTGCAAAAAGGGGAAAATATGTGTCTGTGATCACATCTCTCATGACAGAATTCAGTCAGCGCTTCCAAGATTTTTCTTTAATTGAGAAGGAAATCACACTGTTTGCGGCTCCATTTTCAATGGATGCAAACGAAGTGGAGGAGAGTCTGCAATTAGAACTGATCGAAATTCAGTGTGATGATTCTCTGAAGAATCAGCATCAGCTTCTCTCCCTACCTGACTTCTACCGGAGCTTGGAAAAGGGCAAGTTTCCTCTGATGAGACGCCACGCAAAATTAATTATGAGTCTGTTCGGCTCAACATACATCTGTGAGCAGACATTCTCTCTGTTAACGCTGAACAAAAGCAGACTGAGAACCAGAACGACCGACAGCCATCTCCATGACGTCCTTCGCATCTCAACCACCAAACTTACTCCTCCTGACCTGCCAGCTAACCTTCAGACCAAAGCGCAGCATCACTGCTCCCACTGAGCGCAACATTATTCCCATTACAGGTGAATTAAAAATATACACACAGTTTTCATTTGTTGATAAGCTCAATTACTTAATAAATTCAGTCAATTAAAGTTGATAACAATTTTTTAACAAACGTTAGTTGATGTGTTAACAAGCCCAATAATTTATTTGTGTAATAAGCTTGAAATATCCACATCCCCTATTTCTCTTCTTGTCTCTCCCTTCATACAGGACAATGAAGGGGGATCAGCACCCTAAGAACCAATCTGAGGCTGTCACTGAGAGAATGACCTGCCAACCGTTTTGTAAAAAATAAAATGAAAATCTACTAATGGAGAGCTATGATGGAGGCTTTTTTCTTCAAACATGTTCAATTATCAAACGTAATTTACCTGCATTTGATTGATTTTGCCAATATTAGTGCATGAGAAGTGAGGCAGTATACCTCACATCTAGTGAGTGGCCCAGTCCTTCGTATATTTTTCTGTATGTGGCCCTCGGGAAAAAAAGTTTGGACACCCCTGGCCTAAATGCTCATTTGAGCAGGAAAACAAAGACTATATGAGTTATTTATTTATTATGCCTTATACTTGCAACAAATTGTGCATGAGAGAATGATCGATGATTGATGCAAATTACATGCAAATGTATAATTTTGGCTAACGTTGAAAATGAGACCACACAGACAGAATATACGAGACAGACCATACGAATGAGACAGCAGAAACTTGACACAAATAATGCAGTCTTGAATCGAATCGCAACAAATCACATTATTTTACACATTCCATTACCAGCCTACAAACAAAATAAATACGCACACAGTACGCCTCCATGTCTGTCCCTCCACATAAACATGAAAGTATTTGTACAGATCCCATTTGCCAAACCTCCATTCTGGGAGTGCATAATTACAGCAAAATTAGTTTAATACAATAAAACGCTGCACCAGTTTTGACATTCAGTATCTCATCAGCAAAGTCCGATTTGCTTGAATCAATGCTGGTGAATGGCCAGAAGTGTATCGGTCCTCGTTTGATGCAACACGATATGATACACAACATAAAATAATCATAATTGCTTATTATATTAATAACTTTGTAAATGTTTTAATTTTAATTATTTTGCATTACAAGCCTAGCAATCGTAATTAAGGTACTCACAGCACTCGTGTCCACACATTTGTTTATTCTTACAGTTATGAAGACAGCTTCTTTTGGAACCATCCGAGCCAGCAGAGTAACCTTCAAAAACAAATGAGAGCTCTGTGGAGAAGTTTTCATTGTAAACTTAATACAATCAAGTGCTGAATTTTAATGAACATTACTTTCAGCATATTTTAGGTCAAGCAAAGAGTTGAGATATGTAAACCACTATAGTGTGAAGTTTTAATTAGGTCCCTATAGTCATATAAAATATATAGTTAATGTATTTTCTCTGAGAATAATATATCAATTTTCGGTGTCTCAAGGAAGATGGGAGGGGGTAGATCGCCACTTTGTCAGTTTGGAACTCTTTAGCACAAGAGATTATCTTTGCAGGAAAATATAATGCACCACACTTAACGTCCCTTATGTATATTACTGCATTCTGCCAAGCAAGAGCTGGTGGGAACAATTGCACAATTTAAGGATTATATCAGTGTTGTAGATATTAGATGCTGCATTCTAAATTGGTTCAATGGGATCAAATGCATACATCGAAATAAACCAATTGATCTAAAATGCATGTAGAAATGAGGCGACACAAACCATTTCTGGCTGTTTGTGTTGCTGCTGAGACAAACGTCTTTGGTTTCTCGCAGGTAGTAGCATGCAGGGATTGGGCCTGCTGATGCCTCTCATTGCCGTAGAACCCAGAGGTGCGTGGGCTAGCGTAGGATGGTGTGAAGTTCTGATGGATATCCATACCAACTGGGAAAAGCATTAAAACCACATTTTTGCCACTATAGCTTTAATCATCTTCACCACATTTTTTATTCAGCCAAACACACAATGAGAGTGAGAAACCTTGAGCCTGAGCTCTAGTTCTCTTTCCAATGTCAACTCTAGAGGGCCTCATATCTCCACCTGCACATTTCCCACGTCCACCATTTCCTTACCCCAGCTGCCATCCATACCTTCATATCTCCTCACATCCTCAAACTCCAGATGATCCAAGATGCCCCTGACAAGCTTCTCGTCCACATCACCATGATACTCAGATCCCTCCACTCTCCCAATGCAATCCCGATCAATTATAAAATAGTACTCACCATCTTAAAGATCCTCCATTGACTCGCCCATGCCTAAATCTCTCTTCTCATCTCACTCTACTCCCCTCCACATACTCTTCACTCCAGAAACCAAGGGTTTCTGTCAAATTCCCCCTGTAAATCTTGGTTCACTGGGAAGTTGCTAACTCTCGTTTGCTGCCCCCATAATCTGGACCTCCCTCCTCCCAGTCATAAGTTATGTCGACACCCTTTCCTTGTATAAATCCAGCACCAAGAGCTTCTTTTTTTCTCTGCCTATGACTGACTGCCTCTCTATATATAATTTTCAGAAAATGTGCCTTCTGTTTATGTACGGTGTCTTGAGATGCTGTCGCATTTAGATGTTATACGAATCCACATTGTATTGTAACCTTTGATAAATAACAAGTAAAATTGGACAAGAGGCTACATGAATGAAATACAGTTTTGTGTTTAACATGTACAAGATTGCCACCTGTTCGGGAATTGACGTTTGTGCTCGGGTGGCAGGAATTTATTTTTACCTGGACCTGGTACCAGTATTGAGTTTAAATTTATTCCAGGACACTGCACAGTTTCGTTAGACCTCGGCTAGGGGCCGGCAACCAAAATAACAAGAGTCTTACTCTTTGGTTCTTTCGGTAAAGTCATGTAGGTAAAAAATCAAATCAAATCAAATCACGACGTTTCGGGCGCAACACAAGTGCCCATCATCAGGTGGAAACCCCAGCAATAAACAAATTGCTGAAATGGGCAAAAGGAGGCTGCTTGTGACACGAGACTATATACATAAGAGCTGCCATGCATGTGAATACTGTACATACATACATTACGTCATGAAGCAGTCTGTAAAAAGCTGCATGCAGCTCCGAAGCAGCAGGTTGCCGACTCCTGACCAAGGCTGACTGAGAAATGTCCTGTTGTAGTCTGTGGACAAGGTGGCAACCCTGAGACATACCATATGTAGAGCTGAGGTGTTAAATGTTGAGCTCGTCACTCTTTTCCGGCCAAACAACTTAAACCTTATTCTTAGTTTTTTCGGTAAAGTCACGTTGAAGAGAAACAACAAAATAACAAAATATATATAAAACAATAAAAAATTCTCACGACGTTTCGACCATAACTCAAACGGTCATCATCAGGTGTGTCGGTTTGCATAAATTTATTTTTAAAACGGCACATTTATTTATAAAAAAAAACGTTGGCGTCACGCGCAGCGATTGGCAGTTTGCCCAGGACTAGTCCATCTATTTTTTTGAAAAGAGGAGGGGGGAGACGAATTTTTTTATAATGTATGCTATCTGAAAGCCACTGTAAGCGTGAACAATCAATCAAGAACTGAAATGATTTATCAAATCTTTCCAATGATTGCTAAGATAGAATCCATCTTCTCGGTTGAAATTGTCTCTGTGCTTGTATATGTGGATAGCCTCATGAACGAATCTCTCATGGAAGCCAGATGGCTTACAAAGAACCTCCGTCTTGGAAAAGTCAATGGCATGTGAGCCTACTGAATTAGAACAATAATCTGCTACGGCCGAGGTGTTGGTCCTACCGTGTTTAAGGTCTGCTTTATGTTCACGAATGCGGTCCGAGACATGGCGTTTGGTTTCTCCAATGTAACTACTACCACAGAGGCAACTTAGTTTGTAGACACCAGGGTATTGTATGTCCGGAATCACATCTTTTACAGACGGAACCAGATCACGGATTTTATGTAATGTGTTGAAACGGACCTGGATCTTGTGTTTATTCAAGATTTTGGAGATCTTTTTTGTGATCCCAGCAATGTAGGGTAAAGTGATGGTTTTGAAAGGCTCCTCAAGAGGGTTCTTCTTCATGGTTTGAGTGATAGCTTTGCGGATTGTATAGTCGGAGTAACCATTAGCCCTAAGAGCTTGGTGTACGTGCTTGAGTTCACTGCGCGTGACGCCAACGTTTTTTTTTATAAATAAATAAATGTGCCGTTTTTTAAATAAATTTATGCAAACCGACACACCTGATGATGACCGTTTGAGTTATGGTCGAAACGTCGTGATAATTTTTTATTGTTTTATATATATTTTGTTATTTTGTTGTTTTTCTTCAACGTGACTTTACCGAAAAAACTAAGAATATGAATTACTGCAGTCACGAAAGCTTTAAATCAAAATTTAACTTAAACCTTTTTCAACCAACTCCCTGTTTTCAGCAGCATGTAATCTCTGTGAAGGTCATATTGATGTATATGTAGCTTCCATAACTTGCTATTACTGCAGGTATATTCATAATGAAATATGTGCACTATGTTGCACTGACGTTAAAGATTTCTGACATTCAAAACGAGTAGACCAGTTCTACTCGTTGACAAAAAAATACTCAATTGGAATTACACACAGCAACCATTTCCCCCTACTTGCAACCTCACGCCCAATTGCAGGCCAGGTGCTAAATCTTCTTGTCTCCACAGGGACATTTGTAACTGGGGGTGCCCATTTAAATGTATTTGAGACGTGATGTAAGTCGCTTATTGCGCATAAAGCGCTCATAGACACCCCAGAGTAAAAGGCCCTATCAAAAACAAGTGATTATTATTAATTTTACCAGTAACAAGTGCATTTTAAATTTTAATATTGTGTAGTGACTGTACTTGTCACTGTATGGTGCCGGGACTTGCGATGTCACGGCTGGTGATGTTGTCATTGCGGGCAGCCCGGGTTGCGGGCTGCAGTACTACCGGTGATTGGGTGAGTGCTGGTGAGCGCGAAGGCACCGCGAGCAGCGTGCGGTGCCGGTTCCCAGTGGGGGAGCGAGAGCGAGCGTCAGCCAGCCAGGGTTACTCTGGGGCATGATACTCTGGCTGACCTGTTGTCACGTGACCGGACGATACTGGAGGGGGGCCACCGGTGGACGGGGGCCGAGGGGCGGTCACGTGGTCCCGGAGAGCCCTCGGGAGCCTTCGAGGAGCCTGGAAGGTGGGCGGGGCTAAGGGCGGACGAGCCCTAGCCCGGGAGCATATAACGAGAGCTGCGTGAGGAGCTCGAGGTTCTTCAAGTGTTGGTGTTCGAAGATCCACGTCGGGGAGAAGAAGACTCTAGCCACGCGGTCCGGGACCCAGCTTGTGGTCTGGACCGGGATAGCGAACCGTGTCTAGTTCTGCCGTAGCGTGACTCGATGGGCATTCGAAACCCAAGCGTAGGTTATGTTATGTTGGTGCTGTTGTGTTAAATGAATAGTGTTGCTCCCAAGTTAACGTCTACGACTCAGTTGGACTCACTACAATTGTATCGAATTTGTTTTTAGGAACAATATTGTTTACATATAGGAAGGTGTAATGTATGCTTATTTTGTTACATTTACCTCTATATGATGCTAATTATTATGTTCTATTCCTTTATATCGCTGTATGTTCAGGAGCTAAATGCCAATGTCGAAATCTGATAGCCACGGAGCGAGTTTGTGTAGTTTTTCTACTGCTCCGAAGGAGAGCAGACTACAGTGGTTTACTATATGGTCCATCGTTTGGGTTACATGGCCCCTTATCGCACTAAAGGAGATGTGCGCATTGGCCTGTTGATGTTGTGATGCGGTCGATGGTTCACCAGTATCTTTGAGGAATGTCAAAGCAAGGAGGTGCGATGTTTGGGTCTGAAATCATCAGGCTAATGATTATTTTGTTCTATTCGACGTAAAAACACGTGGCCTTGTCACAATTACTGCGATGTGGAATTTAAGCGCACGTGATGATTTACCGATAGACGAGGTTGTTGTCGGCATTGCCCAGTAGTAGCGTGCAGCAGTGGTTGTCTGGAGCTGTGCGGTGGGACTGCAGGTCCGCACAGTTCTTTAGTATCACTGTAATTATCACCTCAGCCACACCTTTGTAGTACTTGTTACCCTGAAAAAAAATCAACCAGTGCTATTCTGAATTGATATGTAAAGCTTACCAAGCCATTCAATTAAATTGAATATTACTAAGGTGAAGATAAAAGTTAATTATTTGATTCCTTAATTTAAAAACAAGTGAAAAAGCATTTAACAAATGACAGCAAAATTACAGCAAAATCCTAAAAGCCAACAGCCACTTGCCCACTGTAGTCACCATCTCTGTACCAAGACACTGGCATTACAAGTGTAGTGACGTAGAATGGGTCACTACGGCACGTAGCGCTGGTTACTGACAGAAAGGGGAATTGTGGGTGTAGTAGCTCTCTCTGCCAGCAGGGCATGCAATGTCCCGGAATGGGTCACTAGGGTGCATAGTGCTGGTTACTGGCAGAGGGGGGCACCTGAGGACGTAGCAGCCCGGTCGGCTAGCAGGGCACGTTATAGGCCGGGGTAAGGGATGTAGGGCAAAGGTGACTAAGGGGACACGTGGAGTATAGCCCAGAGCCTTCTGGTAGGTTCCAGAAGGGGGCGTGGCCGAGAGCGGAGCCAGGCCACGCTGGGGGCATAAAAGGGAGGTCCCGAGGCTGGATCGGGGCTGTCGTTTGGAATGTAACCCGCTGTACTACATCTTCATCTCCTCGGCATCGTGGGTCAGGCAGCGTGCCGGCTGTCCCGACCCGTTTATAGCTATCCCGTGTGTGAGCAGTGTCTAAGAAGTGTAGAATAAAGGTACGTGCCTCCTCCTATTAGTGTCTCCGAAGTGACTCACTACACAAGTACTCGTAGTAATTTCTTTCTCAAACGAGCATTGAGGTGGTGACCAGCTCCCATTTACAGCCCTGAGCTAGTGGTGGAAATAATGCATCTCTATTATCCATAAGACAACCACTGTTGACTTCCCCACAAATCGGTGCTTATTTTATCTACCACGGAGGGATGATGGAGTGAGTCAACTCCCAACTAGGACTTGAACTCGCAAACCTTCCGATGGCAGGTTGCTCACTCTACTGCTGAGCCACATAGTTTCACAGGTATTATCAAAAACCTAATTGAAGTTTTCTTTAGACTCATGCTGCTTCGAGTAAATTGAGCCACATGGATGGATGGTTTCACAGGTATTGGAAAAGTCCTAATTGACGTTTGCCTTTAAGCTCCTGCTACTTTGAGTACGTTGAAAGTAGTAACGCACTGAAAGGGAAGCTGATTTGCACCCGAGCCATGTGACTGTGCGTTAGTTGTTTTTAGCAATGTGGAATCTTTGATTGGAGTCGGGGTTTGGTCTCATGCACCTGCTCCACTCTGACTTGGTACTTGGGCAGATGCTGCACGGCTTCTTTTATCTGGTTCCCAAATGGAGGGTGTCTGTTCACTATCTGCACAACGCAGAAATACACCAGCAAAACATAATTTGGTTTTGTTGAAATGTTGTTTACAAACAAGAAATACACTCATAATTGGCAGGTTTTACTATTATTAAGGACGGGTGACGATTGTAATGTGTCTTTCCCAATTGAGTAATTTGCAAATGACTTTTTACATTTGTAGTGACTGTGATTGTCACTGTGTGGTGCCAGGCTTACGAAGCCACGGCGGATAATGTGCTGACATTATGTGTAGCCCACTTACAGGGCGTAGTACCAGTCCTAGCGGAGCTTGGGTGAGCGCTGGTTAGCGCAGAGGCACCGCGAGCAGTGTGCGGTGCGGGCTCCCAGTGAGGGAGCGAGAGGGAGCGTCAGCCAGCCAGGGTTACGTTGGGGCATGATACGCTGGTTGACCTGCTGACACGTGACCGGATGATATTGGAGGGGGAGCACCGATGGATGGGGGCCGCTGGGCGGTCACGTGGTCAAAAAGAGCTCTCGGGAGCCTTCGAGAAATAGCTCGAGAGATCTGGAAGGTGGGCGGAGCAAAGGGCGGAGCCAGCCCCAGCCCAGGGGGATATAACGGGGGGCCCGTGAGGAGCTGGGGGTTCTTCGTGTGCTGGTGTGAAGAAGATCCACGTCAGGGAGAAGAAGCATCTAGCCACGTGGACCGGGACCAAGTTTGTGGTCCGGGCCGGGATAGCGAACCATGTCTAGTTCTGCCGTAGCGTGGTTAGATGGGTATTCGAGACCCGAGTGTAGATTGTGTGATGTTGTGTTAAAGTTGCATAATAAATAACGTTGCTCCCAAGATAACGTCTGCGACTCAGTTGGACTCACTACACATTTTGCTAATTTGGACAATGACGCCGGCACACAACGTTCTTCTTTGAATGACATCAAGGGATCTTTAACGTTCACTTTGAAGAAGATGGTGTTTAGATTTTTATGGTGAATAAATCCACAGTATTAATTAACCGCGAGCGGTCTGCCAGCTTCGAACTGCGAGTTCTGCAACAAGTGTTACCACTGGGCCAATGGCATTTACGGTGTAGCTACCATATAATTGTACTGGGAAATGCGCTTAACACCAGCACAAACATAGATACATGTTGTGGAGATTACACCCATTATCTCACCAACTCAATTTCCCGTCCATGAGTGTTTTACATTTTCTCAAAAGATGTCAATCCAGCGTTGACCAGTGCGCTGGACAATGAGAAGCTTACAGCAGAAACACTGAGGTTAAGTAATGTTTCATTGAAGGGTCTTCTGAAAATAATGCGTGGTTGTAAATAATTTGCATTTATTGCTTTTATACGTAAAAGGGACTATAATTACCGATTTTTTTCAAGTTGTTTGAAAACAGGTGAATTTTTCCAAAGTTTTGCACGAAAACATTTAGCGAGGTGGACTGCATTTAGCACAGCCTGAAAATTATTCTGCTTATCCTTTTGCTGCAAAAATTCGGCAAGACCTACAAACACAAAACGGAGATATAACAGATATATACTCTCATGCGTTTAAAAGTTAGCTTCAGAAAACAATGTAAATTTGTTTAAATAGTGCAGTTTAAACTTACATTTTGTAAGTCGGATTCCAGTCCTGAAGATTTTGGCGATGTCCTGTATCAATGCAAAATCTTGCAAGAAGTACACATCCCAGCTGAGGTTGAATAAGACTACAAAGAACGCGTAATTTTAATTGCGTGGCAAAACATAATTCTCCACTTGAACAAACTTTTTTTTGCAATATATATGCAGTTTAAAGTGTTAAAATGAGTGCCAATACATTTTGAAGGCTCTCCAATTAAAATGTGTGATCTGTATGGTGATATGAAATAAATAATAATCTGCAAATGTGTAGAACATTAAAACCCTAAACACGAAGTTGCGTTGCTAACTATAAAGAAAGTTAATAACCAACTACAAATGTACGTATGTGTTATCTTAACAGACACATTTAATTCATAGCTGTACTGACCAGTTTACTTTCATTTCAATGGTTTTTATTTTACCGGGCATTGGAAATCTAAAATGATATAAGCATTCAGATTAACCTATAATGGTTTATCCAAATAACTAATACACACTGAATATACAATATACACTTAAAATATGCTCATAAAGACTTAAACCTCATTCGTTTATCCATAAAATATTTTGAAATACGTAATACTTGAACTACTATTTTTTAAAATATGTAAATGTTTTCTCATTTGATGTTTCACTATCCGAGAAACCTTTTAAATAAAATAATAATCAATGTTTTAGACCGATAAAACATTTGATATTAAACTTTCAAGATTATTCCAGTGCAGGTTCTAGATTTTTATTACAAAAAATATAATGACATTAACACAGGGTCTTAAAAAAATACCTAACATTCTTCAACCTGGCCAAATACCATATAAAATTGCAATTTCTTTCAATGTACCTTTGCCAATATACAGTATGCATAATTGTATATTTACATATGACAATTCACCTGTATTGGTTTAAACAAACGTGACTGCTGATGAGACACGGAATGTCAAAACCAGTCCGGTTTCGTTGTGAAACGAAGTCTGCTGAAATTATGCACTCCCATAATGCCACGTGGTTGTTAGGATGTGTAAAATACATGTATTATTTTATGTGGAGGGACAGATATGTGAAGGAGGCATATTGTACGCTTATTTTTTTTCATTCTTTACGACGATGCTAATGGTTATTTTGTGATGTGTGTCACTGATTGTTACCGTATTGTGTGATTTTTGGCCATGTTAAATGTGTTCAGGGTTTTCTTTTCATTAACGCGGAGTGCGATGTATTTATACTCTCGACAGCTTGAGATAAGTCACCTGTAAAGAAGGTCAAAAATCAAGATGTCATCATGGCCAAAACCATTGATGCTACTACACAGAATTGTAAACGCATTCCACCCTCCGCCAGATCTCGCAGCTGCTGCACAATAGACACACAGTGAGCAACCAAATCTGCCCTGACACTATTGCACCATTTGTTCTTAGGTCACCCATAAACGCACATCCATTACAGTAACAAATCAGTATTTAATAGCAATTACAAACCTCTAAAACATTTACAATACAAGGTGTCCTAAAACCGAAAATGTCTTAGAGCAGACATGGGCAAAGTACGGCCCCCGGGCCGTATACGGCCCATTGGGCTTTTTAATCTGGCCCGCCGAACTTGTCCAAATATTATTAAATGTTACCTTTCTCCTGTATTGCCCCCATTTCCCCATTAGATGGCGCACTTTGACCGGGAGTTACGACATGTTTTTGTATTGTTCATGTTCGTGCAATTTGTTAAATTGCCTTGCAAATAAATGCTTTGCTACCTGTTAAAGGCCAAAGCCTTTCATGTAATTATTTTTACATGTCATTTATATTAGTTCAAACAAACACTCCATCCATCTGTTCCTGGCCCGGCCCCTCTGTCAAATTTTAGAACCCATTGTGGCCCGCGAGTCAAAAAATTTGCCCACCCCTGTCTTAGAGAGATCAAGAGACGAATGTATCAGTTCAGCTAATTGCTAATCACAAAAACACTCTCTTGTAAAATATACGCAGGAGTTATGACCTTACGTCCCGTCTGTCCAATATAGCATCGACCACATAAACAATTAATCCAATATACACCTTCTGTTAATAATTTAGGTAATGCATCTTTAGTGCAAGATACTCAAACTGTAAATGTTGTGGATTCACTCTTCAACACACCGGTGGGCTAAAGTAGTGAACTATTTGTCCGTGTCGGGTGGTGGAGGGTTACGACACATTTATTAATAACGCGATCTAACCCAAAAACCTTTATTATGAATATTGGTCGCGGAAGCCTACGTGTTAAAATGATGACTGCAAAACATGCCAAAACTGCTAAATTATCTGCACAATTGTTTTTCTGCTTATTAATTTGCTTATACAAAATAATAATTTACAGCCGTTTGTCAAATCCGCTGCTGTAAGTTTGATACGTGTCATATACATATATCCTTGTCTGTTAACATAATTACAGTTACTATTTGTAATGCGTTGTCATGAACCCTTTCAGGGAGCTATCCCTCGTCTAAGTAAGGGACATTGCGCAGTAAGCCTTGTTGACGTAAGTTGATGGTGATGTGGAAGAATGAGAAACCAACCCTGTGACCTTACTTACCAGGTCTTGCATGGCTTCAGAGCCCTGTAATGTGCCAAACAGCTTTATGGTATCAAATGCGATGTAGTAGGAAGCCATCAATCTGCCAACATCTGTACAATATAAAACCATTTTTGTTAAAATAGCAAAGCATATTTAAAAAAACGTAAATTAAATGCCAGGGTGCTGGTGGCTATACTTCATGCCTGTAATACAGGGTTGGTGGATCAAACACAAATTGGTAAAACTCTCTTTCCAAGGTGGCCAAGATCGCCATATTCTTGGCTTTCCAGGGTGTGGCAGTACAGCAAATTCATTATATCCATTTGCATGGATATTGAGTTATTACCCCTTGCACACGTGGGGATTTTCCATGTGTAGTGGGTTGAATAACTAGAAGAAGGCTGCTGTGAGGCAACACAGTTTTTATTTAACAAGTAGCACTTACCACAGAGAGGTAACGGCCCCTCACACCCGTTACACTATGGAGGTTACTCTCCAGACTACCACGCCTCTCACTGGCTAATCTACAAGTCCTCCGTGAGTGAAGCTTGAATCTGCACTGGTATATAAGCTGGAGCCGACACTTGCCAGGGGTATGGCTCTGCCCTCGGGCTCTTCAGTCTTTAGGAGGCTTCTTGTCTTCAGCTGGACGACGACTGCCGGGACCGTCCAGAGGTCTGGCTTTTATACAGAGCCGTGGCTCGCTCCGCCCCGGCCACACCTTTCTTCTCGAACATTCAAGAAGGACCTGGGGATGATGTCATCCCCCAGCCCCCCTCCTGGGGTCTGCCCCTTTTACATACTGTTCCATAGGGTAACCGTTGGACCCTATGGCCCATAGACTGTCAGCACTGGGGCTCAGCTCCTCTGTTGCTCCCTATTGGCATGAGGCCGGTATTGCCGGCTACAGCATGGGAACGGCGCATCTTGGCCTAATAACACCGTGACACATGTGTAGTGTTTATAATGACGAATAAACTTTTTATGAGGCACATTGTTTATTGTAATACTTCTCTTACACAGTCCTTAGCACACAGAGGGGTATACAGTCCCCTCACCCGATACCCTAAGAAGGTACAGCCTCCGGACTTAGCGTGACCTACACACAGGTCTCTTCCTAACCTAAGGAGGTACAGCCTCCTATCTTGGCGGGACCTACTCACACATCTACCACTATCCTGGGGGAGGCTATCTGACCCACCGCTGGCCCGGCGGGTCTGAACCACTGGATACGCCGCGCCTTAGCCCTCAGAAGGGCTGGAAGGCTGGGTCCAGGGTCCTGGCTATCTTCAGCCCGGGCTTCGGTCTTCGTGTAGGGAGAGAACTGCCCGTGCTCTGCGCGGTCACCCTTCTTATACCCGTTTGTGGCCAGGTGTAACCAATCCCACATTCCCACGTAGAACTGTCTGATTGGTTCTTACCAAACTGTGGCTACGATCCACTTCACCTCGTCTGACCCCAATCGTTATGTACACAGAGGTAATGCTGCACTGCCCCTTTGATACCTAGTGGCAATGCAGGTTACCGAACAGTGAATAGTTAACACCTCTACACATGCACAGACACTCATTAATGGAGTTGGCGAAACATCCCAATATAGCAGCACAGGGCTCGGGCAATTGTTGGCGCAGGTTCTCACTGCCTCCCCTGCCTGTCTGTCGTTTTACCCCTGTGCCTCCGTTAGGAAACTGTGCATGTTACAAATTCTACAGCACGTTTTGAGATGCAATTTGCGTTAATGACTGGACGCTATATACAAATAAAATGTGAGATTACATTATGTTTTTGAATCACAAATAAAGCACACAAACACTTAATAATATGCTGTTTAAGCAAAAGGATTATTTACCTGTTGGCTTAATATCCCCATTCTGCATACAAATTAGCTTGTAAGCTGCCAGCGAGTTCAAACTCTCTAAGCATAGTTCTGAAATAAATAATGCAAAATAAACATTAACGTTCTTGTGGACAATACAACAAACTAAGCAGGTAATATGCCTTCTTCCCATATTTGTCTCTCCACTACAATCTAAAATATGCTTTACACATTCATAGCCAACAGAGGAGATCCTTGCCTCTTAACATCGAGCAGGTCACTCGTATTGGTTCAAAGCCTGACTGTTTATACATTGAATGTCGAGACCAGTCCAGATTTTTGCTTGCGTTGAAACCAACGCAGCTGAAAACATTCACTCCCAGAAGGCCGTGTGGCTGATATGTTATAAACAATGATTCTACTTTTTATGCGGAGAGACAGATATGGGAAGAAGGCATATTGTCAGCTTAATTATTTTGACATAACGATCGTTAAACAAATACAATTAAAGAAAAATCAATTTGTCTCAATTTTAAATCATTGAAAATCATGCTGCTTGTAGTGGAAACACAAGGAACAACTTGAATTGACCAACTGGCTCTTTCAGAGGCTGCGTATATGGGTTTTATTCTCAGTGTTTCATCTTCTAACAAGTAGACAGGTTTCTTGAATTGAGCAAGGTTGTAAGAGCTTGAGAAGTGAGACCGTGGGAGGGAATTCACAAGGACTGTAAAGCATCAGTACCAGGGGAAGAATCAAAGACAGAAGTGTCTTGACCTGTCGCGTGGTGGCTGAAGACAGTAACGTACGAAAAACACAAGCAAACAGTTGTATTTCTCTCAGTTTCAAATTGTCTACTATTATTCCAGTAAAATTACAGTTTGATGTTAGATTATGTTAATATCACTATACCTTGCAGAAGTTGTTTCTCAATGTCCTCTTTGTTCAGACCAGCGGCAAATTCTGTATCAGTGATTCGTACAGAGTACATTTATTTTTCAGTATGCTGCCTTTTTATGCATCGCTTGAGATGTACTTAAAATGGCTTTAACAGTTGAATATCTTGTCATAGTCAAAGTCAAAACTATGTAAACACTTGATGTCAATGAACAAACTCTAAATTGTCAGAATGTTTAACATTCACTCCTTACAAATATACCGTAATTGTGTCCTTTGTACTTAAGAACATTCAAACGTGTTATTTCCTCCAGTCAGCTCATAATATTTTTGAAAGCCCCAAACGTGAAATGTAATTACAGCTAAAATTACTGTTTTATATTACAATAGCTGATCTATGCAAAGGCATAATGGCTCAAAATACCCAAAGATGGTTTCACACAATGTTTTAGCAGGCAAGGGCCCTCTCTGTCTGATATGGGTCTTCGCTCAACACAAACCTACATAATATACATCACGTTATTTTGTGTTTCATTCGAATAAGTGTCGTTCACTCAAATACATTTTGAAAATAGGATACACATGTATATACATCCTTCCAAAATACCTATACTACTCAAGAACACATTTTAAATGTATGTTCTTGATAATTTTCTGAAATAAATGCACGAATAGGTAACTCAACCTTTTCCAATACACCTACTCATGTTTATTGTTATTCTTTTTATATACATAATTGGAACCTGGTGATTATGCTATTACACACTATAGCTATTTCAGAGGCAACACTATTTTTTTTATCTGTCATGCGAACATTGTATGTTTTAATTTTGAATTGTAAATGCATTTCTTACTGTAATACTTTGGGTTTTTGAGTGCCCGAATGTACAGGAATGTGGATCGGATCCAATCCAATGCCACGTTGACATCTGTGATCGTGTGCAGTACAATCTCCGCATTGAGGTGCTCTGTTAAATTCATGTGCAAACTGCAGGAGACCGAAGGTGTTTACAAATTCACGGTAGCTACTTTATAGCAATGGGAACATGAAAGTTGTAGAGGGAAAGCTGATTGATGGAAATTCACAAAATGTAGGAAAAAAACACATCATTCTGAACGTATCTTAAAATTAATTGAGAAAGTTTTCATTACAGCATGAAAATTGGAAAGATCTTGAACAAGATAGTATAATACAAAATAAATGTTTATTTGATATAGTACTTTTCCTCAAAAGAACACAAAGTGCTGTTACATGTGTAGTGTGATGTACAGAGGCGCACACGCTGGAGTTGAAGGCAACATGTTTATTTAACAACTTCCCCAACGGGTAACTCTCACCGCATCGGGTTCTATATTTAGGTGTGGCTACACTGTTTACGATGTGCGTTGCGGGTTAACTATTAACGAACGGGTCAGTCAGCATACACGCTGCCTGACCCACGATGCCGAGCGAAGACCCTGACCGAAGATCGAAGAGGGTAAGAGACGCGGAACCCCAGGACGATCACAGACGAGCCTCGATCCCTGTCGGGGCTCCCCCGTTATTCCCCTGGCCGCAGCCTCGCCCCGTACTCGGCCACGCCCCGTACTCGGCCACGCCCCCTTCTAGATCATGTCAGGAGCTCGTGTCCCTCGAGCCTCCTTGGGAGGTTCCAGGCGCAGCACTCCTCTATGATAGTGGCTGGCGCTAACACTATAGTGACATCATTTACGTCACTACACATGTGAAAATGTCAACATTTCATAATTTGCCCTAAGTAATTGGTCTAGTGTTCTAACGAAATAATATGGATGTCAGTTTTCAATCGTGACTTAATAACATCGACAATGCCCAAATCACGATTATGGCTGGGGCGGGCATTCCGCAGATGGGGAACCATACAGCAGAAGGCTCAATCGCCCTTGGAGTGCTGTCTCATCTTTGGGATGCAGAGAAGACTGAAACCATGAAATGTAGATTGTGAGATAGAATACTGGGATTCAAAAAGTCCCAAAGGTAGGTGGGTGCTTTTTAGCTAGTCACATGATCTCAGTCAATTCTAAGATTCACCAAGAGTCAAAGTAAAGATTCCAGAACATGCGTGATATATTTGGATTAAGCGATTATAGACAGAAGGCAGGCAAGCTGCATTATGAAAACATTACAGCCTATTGAGAACTCTTGCAGGAGGCATGCCGAACAAGAGGGCATGACAATAATCGACCCGAGAGAAGACATGCATTATCCAAATTATCTGCATAATAGGTTGACAAGCATGATCTCGTGCTGACAATATTTTGAAGATGAAATTACTTCTGAATTACACTTTTCACTTTTCATATAGCCTTCAACCTTCAGAGCAGGGTCATGGATGCCACCAACGTTTTTTTTACTGTGGGTGATGAGCTTAAGTTGAGTGCAGAGCCGAGAAGCACAACCTCTGTTTTGTCACAACATTTTTCTGCATCAAAGACTTAAGGTGGAGTCGTCACTGAGTCAAGATATCAGGGTAATGAGAAGGGAGGGAAGAGAGGGAAAAAGCATGAGTAAGGAGAAGCGAGCTGCACAAAGCTGCGTCTGTTTTTTTATTACATACCAGATACGCAAGTTAGAGGCATCAAAGCTATGAAGAAAAACAAGTAAGCTTGGGCAGGACATACATACTAGCGGGAAGTACCCAGCGTTGCCCGGGGGAAAATATATTTTAAAACTTCTCAAAACTTAAAAACATAATATATACATACACAAATACTAAGCTATTGTGAAAGCCCGGCGTGCGGTTTGTCTGTCCATATGTCCGCCAACAAAATTAGAAGTCAAAAAACTTTTTGAAAGTAGGGGGTAAATAGTTGATCTAAAAGGTCTCCGAAAATTGTTGACCCCCCCGCCACCCTCAAATAATATTTTTACCCCCGCGTAGACATATATACCTAAACACCCTACATACAATAGCGTGAGTAGTATCTAGTGACTCTATAGTAGTATCTGCAGACTCTACAGCAGTATCTACTGACTCTATAGTCGTATCTAATGACTATAGTAGTACCTACTGACTATAGTGGTATCTATTGACTCAATAGTAGTATCTACTGAGTATAGTAGTAACTACTAACTCCATAGTAGTATCTGCTGACTCTATAGTAGTATCTACCGACTCTGCAGCAGTATATACTGACTATAGTAGTAACTGCACACATTGGGGTGGGAGAATAGGACATCACACTTTGAAGAATTACCTCAGCGTTGTCTTTTTTTGTTGCATTAAAGCGAATAAGAATTTTTTCCCCGCCCCCACTGATCGCGCGTGTGCGTTGCTATGGGAACCACGACGTTTCGTGCATAGTTCATGCGAAGATGCGTGCTTTGGCGCGCGCTGAGCGCAGTAATATAATCATTTATAGCACTAAGTTGTCAATTTAACTACTTTAAAGTTAGAAATGTAAACCCCAGTTTGTGAGTTAAAAGCGTCGCAAGTTGCATACACAGACAGACGGAGAGACACAGAAACAGACAAAAAAATGACTTTCATAGGTAAGAATTAAAAGTACTTGCAATAATAATTTACCTAAATACATTTTTACATGAAAGACCCATTGGCATTGTACCGTTTAGCCATGTTACTTAGGGGGAAAACATTTAACGTGCTACATATAGTTTGCACACAATAACCCTAATCTTTATAATTCATATAATTAAATATTTTAAAGCAATTTAATGATAAATGAAAATAAAACGTTGATCATTACCTGATTAATATAAAACCCAACGCGCGGTGGAAAAAAACTTAACGCTCGCGCGCCAAAAATCAATTCTTTAAATCGAGCAAAGGAATCGAATGTTGTAGATTTCTTTAGAATCGGCCTATTCCCGTTTAATCGATACCACAAACGCTCACCAGATATCGATTCTCGCCAGGCCTGTATGCGGTTTGACGCCACACATTTCAGCCATTTCCCCTCCCCCCAAAAGTCTATTGTTTTACTTTTTACATTGTGTACAGTATGGGAGCTACCCACATGCCAAATTTCAAGTTTGTATCATGTTGGGAAGTATGCTAAACATTTCGAATAGACACACAAAGGCGGTGGAATTGCAATCTATGTTCGTAATACTATTGCATGTTCACCAGCTCACTCCTTGTTAAAAAAAATGTTGCTTTGAAGGTCTGGCTCTCAGAATAACTCTTCCAAATAATCAACAGATATTGGTAGTGTGCTGCTATAGACCGCCTAGTGGTAAGGATGTGGAAGCTGCGTCTGCACTGAGATAACTTTTTGGGGGCCTCCCTAATGGTGAAATAGTTTTAGTGGGTGATCTAAATTGGAATTGGCTAGACCCGCCGGCCGTGGCCACTAATTTTGCAGATGAATTTAACCTATTTCAATTAATACATTTCCCCACAAGACCCAACCTAAAAAATCATCTCTGCTTGACGTCCTATTGACAAATGCCCCTCACAATGTCTCACTGACTGGTTCCTTCATATTTGGGGTGAGATCATCAGCCAGACCCAAAGCCCCCCCTAAATTGGTTGAGAAGCACTCCATGAGACACTTCAGCATTCAGGAATTTACTAATGATGTGCTTCACTCGGATATTGACAAGGTCTGTGATATCCCGAACCTGACTACGGCTTGGGAGGTC